TCCTAGGCAGACCCATTCAACACTATGTCTGATCTGGGGTGCCCCTGACTACTACGCTTTGTCCTTGGCAGACAAAGCCTGGTCTTCCTCTGACAAAACACCACTTGAGGATCAGAGAAATGTACCCTATTGGTAAGGGTGGCAATATTTTTCCAGGCATCACTCACTCTTCCTAATTGTCTGCATATGTACTCTGCAAGTTAAAATTCCCTTAGCAGGGCTCTGAGCATTCCCTGAGGGCTCAGGAAGGCATCCTCTGCTTGGTTTCCTCCAGGGACAACTCCTATATCCCAGTGAGGAAGCTTCTCAAGCATGCCTTTCCCTTGAGAGGGGCCTGTTGTGTTTCAGACACTGGGTTGCTTTTCAAAGAAAATGGCAGCACTTTCCGAGGCTACCTGCCTGGTGCTAACAGAATCTGCTCCACACTGAACCACTGGTACATAGATCTTACTTCCTCTTCCAAATACTTCGGATGGGCAGCAAGCTCATGATAATAACATCATTAGTATCAGAATGAAATGCGATGAGTAGCTACTGCTTGTGTCAATGTGCTGGTCCACATTCCGTACATGCCATGCCACAGCACTAACCAGACTCACACTATTAGGAAAAAGAAAGCCAGAAAGTGTTTTTTCTTAAACACTAGCAGACATTCTGAAGATAAAGCACCAAGGAATCACCTGTAGCCTACAGGACTGCCTGCAGAATGAATTTTAGCAAACAAGATCATTTTGGAGACAGTCTCTCTTGATCTCACTGCCCTGAAGGTAAAGTGAAACAGATCTGCAACTTCCTTATTAATGTTTTCATTACTGCTACTCCATAGAAATTCTAGTAAAACTTACCCCTTTTAAATCCTTGTGTCCTTTGTAAATGTTCATTCTCTGAGGGTCAGCCTCTCTTTTCCTTGTTTCATTCGTGTGTGCACTCTTTCTCCTGTTGCCCTTCCTTGGCTCCCCTGCTTTGGTTCTTCTTTGTTCTTGCTGCCAGCAACAGAAGACAGGCAAAAGAAAAGAGAAAGGGAGCGGGCTTTGACTAGCTGACAAGATGTGAACTTTAAATTTAGCAAACCTGGGTTTTATTTCCTGCCTCATCACTCCCAGTGCAAATTTTTCTCCATCTTAATTTCTATCCATAAAAAGCACAATTCTTACCTAACACAAATCAAGTCTATGTAACCTCACAGCACCCTGTAAGGCAGCATAATATTTAATCACAAAATGTATGAACATCAACAGAGCTGTCTTCTCATCTACCCTTTTGCCTTGAGGTAGGACAAACTAACTAAACTGCGCTTAGAGAACATGTGATGAATTTTTAATAGTAAAGCTGTGCAAAGATTCAAGTTGCACAACCTTCCTAAACACATCTGCTTCAGCATTTTTCTGCTCCACTCAGATGTTTCACACATCTTGAACTGTGCAGTTGATTCTTTCACTCAGTAGTTCAGCCTGAGTTGATACTAGCAAGGAATGTGAAAGGCAGCACAAAAAGCTTCCATAAACACAACAGCGACAAAAAGGAAAGGAAAAGTGAAAGGAAAGTTTGCTGCTGAACGTCCAAGGGACTTTGTGATGAAAGACATGGAAAACGCCAAGGTACACAGTACCTTTTTCTCTTTCCAGTTTTGGGCTCTCACAAACAGTAAGACAATGTCCAGCAGAAGACCATCAAGGGGATTCTTGGTTGTAAGTGTGCAATGCACAAGGAGAGGCTGAGACCTGAGTGTGCTCAGCCTTTAGAACAGAAGGCCTTGCTGCTGTTCATGACTGCCTACTAGAAGAGTATAAAGAGTGAGCCAGACTTGGCTTGGAGATGTATGGGGATGAAATGAGTGTCTACAGCCACTTGTGGAACAACAGACATTCTGATTAGAAATATGGATGGTTTATTACCTTGAGAGTAGCAAAGTACAGAAAGAGGATGCCCACAGAGGTTGTGGTACTGCCATCCTTCGAGATGCTGAAAACTTGACTAGACCTCCAGAAGTCTCTTCCTGCCATACCTCCATGATTCCTTTCTACAATTCTACTTTAAGACTCGTGGCAAAGAAAGCTGCAAGGTAATGAGTGGAGACTGTCTCCCTGACATCCAGCAGATCTCTAACTGATGGAACATCTTCACTATTATAGACACATTCTTTGTTTATCTTTAAATAACTGCTACATCAGGACAGATTTTCTACAAAGTACACAAGCTTTTATCATGCACCTAATACTTCCGCAAACAAGTGAACATCATGAAAGGTACGTATTTTTTCCTGAGGACAGGAGACAGGATCAAATAGACACTTCAGTATTACAATCTTCCACTAAAGGAAAAGCACGTTCCTAACAGCAACCTAGTATCAGAACACTTCATCAAACCCTTTCTCTATCACTCATCACACACACAGTAACATCTGTGCAAGCCAGTTGGCTCTGGACAGCTCCTGTGGTTCTTGAAAGACTATTTCTTGGCAGGTTCTGTTTTTTACTCTAATTGAAAGGTTAATCAAATCAGTCATACTTGTATGTTGGCTAAATAAACACACTGTCTCCACTGATGATGAAACAGATGCATTACCACTCATGTTTCCCACGGGGTTCATTTGTTCCATGATTGCATTCAGTCTTCTTCGAGCTTCTCTATGCAGTATCTGACAGCATTTTGGATAGTTTTCATACGGAGATCTACCTTTCAGATGCTATTGCATTCATACAACTCAACTCTGGTAGTTCTGGCAAAGGTATTATGTATCCTCAACACTGCTTCATTGTGGAAAACGTACAAGCAGTTAATCCTGAAAAAGGTTAAGAACACTTACTGAGGCATAAATGCACTGAGTCTAACAGTTTACGTTGCCGAGGCAGAAACCACTCAGACACTAAAACCCAGTTCCTCTTTGCCTTTCCACCCTCAGCACCAAGCTTCATTTTGCAGAAAGCTGTTTCAGCAGGTTGTTAGCATCTAGAACCCAGTCCTGCAAATTCACGTCTTGTGTTTGATTTCATGCACAGTTACACAGTGCTGCTAACTCACTACATGCGTGAATCTCCTTCTGAAACCCGCATTTACACATGATATGGCAATTCACAGTATGTAAAGCATACAGAAGATATATTGAATGCATGACAGGTAGAAAGTATTTATTCAAGTTAAGAAGTTTTGTGTATTACAACATTTCAAAAGTTCAAAAGCTACAACAGCTGGTATTTGTTTTAAAGGAAAAGGCATCCAAAACCATCTTGCAACCTGGTAACTAGTATAATGAAGAAAATCTCAAGCCATACAGAGATTAACACGGTAGTGTTAGGTAATTTCAGTGTTACACATTCTGATGTGTATTTGAAAGGGGAAAAAAGTGTACTTTTTTCTCCATTAAACAAATAGTATTTATGGAATGCATTACTGAAGTTCTTTCGGGTGCGATTCATCTCACTTATTTTCTGTGTACTAAAAGATGTAGGTAACTAAACTAGCTTGCTAAATTGTTGAGAGATGCGCTCTCTGCAGGGGTTTTAGAGATATTATCTCCCTCCACTAACAGTAAAGGGAGAACAGACTTGCCAGGTCTACACTTCTAAACAATTTAAGTCATCTGCACAACAACTCATCAGACAACAATTAACTCCCACTGCAATCGTTTTTTATTTTTTAAAACTATTTTTAAAAGTTAAAGCATTAAATCATGTCATTGACTTCCAAACTTAGGTCTCCACATTAAAGACTTTTTCTTAATCTCTCTCGTAATGAAGAGGAAACTGTTCTTACAAAGAGTGGAACGTCACACTAACAAAAAGCACATAACTGTCATTACAAGTAAACGGAAGCTGGGGAAAAGCAGCATTTTCTCCCACCCTGCAGAAAGCTGTTTCAGCAGGTCTTGTTAGTGTCTAGACCCCAGTCCTGCAAATTCACGTGCCTGTTGTTTGACTTTTAACCTCCAATTCACTTAAAACCATCTTGACCCAACGCGTAACATTCTCATTTACTACATTTTGTCACCTTGCCAAGAGTAACACTGAGAGAAACTTTACCAATTCTTATTAGCATCACATAGGCCCTTTTTGCTTACAATAGAGATGCCAAATACAGGAGTAACTCGGGATAGCTGAAGAACCCAGAGCCAGCTGTAACAGGCAAGAGTCACACAACTGACCTCAGTGGGACTTCACTCATCTTAAAATTTACTACCACTGTGTTCTCAAAGCTCAAGTTTGTCATTCGCTTAAGCACTTAATTGAACTGAGGCATGGGAAGAAAGGCAACAGAAAGAGTGATCAAATATCAGGTGGATTTACATTTTAAGCCATAGCACAAAACAGAGATTTGAAATTACTTATCAATTGGTAGAAACCTCCGCATAAGCTAAAAATAAAAGCTTACCTCAGTATAATAAGACTGTATTTGTAAAAGCTTCCCTGTAAAATGGTTCTGCATAAAATACAAAATGCCTGGAAAAAAATAAGCTATTGTTTAAAGTATTTTTTATCTTGCATTTTGAATTGTTCTGTGAATGGTTCACAAGCTGTTATAATACGCTGGATGCCATACAGGCAAGTGAGTATCTGCATCCCTCAAGAGTTGAACAGCTTGTTGATAGAATAAATACGTTTAAGACAACTTTTTCACCTGCTAGAACCTAAACTAATAATGGTAAAGTCAGATTATTAGAACTGTATTTTAGGAAATACAACTGAATATAGATTCAGGAGACTGGTTTTTAGTATTTATTTAGGAAAACTCACTATACAAACAAAAGTTATCGTAACAGCATAATATGCAGGGTTATAGTTTCTCCTTCCTTCAAGCTGCTTCTTTGTTTCAGTAAAAACACATATATACATTTACAACGATTCCCCTTTAAAGCACTGGGATTTCATATATTAAAACATACCTGGTAAAATAAGCTTAAAATAATTTTACATTGCTTGGAAAAAGATTTGAGTAATTTACTCTTACCAGAGTGCCATTGTTGCACAGTATTCAAAAAAATGAACCACCACTAAAATAGAGAGTAAAACATTTAAAAGTACATTTATTTAAAATGTGGGCAAAATATCAATATAAAAGAAAATAGAGTATAAGAAATAAAAATAAAGTACAAAACATTTTCATCTTCAACAACCATAATTTAATAGATAACAAGCCCTTTTATTTGTACATCCAGATTACACTCTTGGCTGAAGTACCATCATTTACGTTAAAATGTTTAAAAACGGGCTAATGATACCTAAAGTGGGCTCTCTTAAAATGGTAGTATAATACAAAACATAGTAAATTATGTTTCAGCATAATAAAATTACACATCCTAAAAAAGATGCAGTTTAATTTTTGCTTTCCTGCTTTAAACTGCTCATCATCCCTAGGAAAACAGCTGGAAAACAGCATCCACAGGAAGTTTTAGTTGCTTTGTACAATGGCTGAACAGCTAGATCTAATGCTCCAAGCATTCCGAAGCAGTAAGGCATTTCACTATCCATCAAGTAAATTTATATGTATGTTTGTTAAGAAAGAACAACTTTTAAGAAATGACTGCAAAATAGAACTTACATGAAAAAAAAGCGTGCATGAAGACACAGAACCTTTACTGGTCCCTTCACTGTATTTATCAAACAGGGTTTATAATCTTCTGTAAAAACCTGTTTTCCTCATCTGCATGTAACTTGTGACAAATACTTTCCTTAACGTCAAGTTTTTTTCCTGTTACTTAAAATTCTACTACTATTACTTTCTGACAACCCTGCCTCCCACCTCCACTGAAGTATTTCCTATCAAAAAGTAATTCCACTTTGAATTTAAGCTAGGTTTCTGTGTGTTAATCTACCCTTCTATCAAGTAAACATGACACATCCTAAAAATTTATATATCACTAGTTCCTAATTAAGAAAAACTTAATTACCACACTTCCCTAAGCAGCAGACAGCCTTTACAGGAAAAGGATATGATTCATAATCCAGTGTTTGAGTAAGTACTCCGGTCAGGACAAACTCTGCGTTGTGAACATCTGGAAATACAAAAAACATGCATACAGTTCACACCCTACAAAGACATTCTTCCTCATTCTGCACACGTGTCAGGAGGGGCCACCCTGTACCTTTCCACCCTTCAGGGAAAGGTGTAAGGGAGTACTGCCCGCCAGTACCAGGGCCATCACACACTGCATGCCACAAATACTAGACTTCCCAATGCACACCATGTCTTGGTGCTCTATACTTAGGCTAAAATAACTAAAGTGAAAAAATTTAAATCTTTAACTAACTTGATTACTCGGTAATCTTGTCTCATCCAGGACTGAAGCCCCAGGTTCAAGCCTACCCTTCCAGAGATATATGGTGACCTGGCTACAGAATACCTCTATTAGAAATACCTAGCAGACAGCTGGCTCAGATTTCTCCATGTTTTGCAGGACAGACCATGTATTCCTCTATTATTATCTGAAAGCTTCAAAAGTTGTCTGTACTTGAAAAGTAGTAATAATGATAATAATAAAAATCAAAATAACAGCAATACTGTTCTAATTACATTGACAGCTTATACGTACCTATGCCTCTTGCAAAATATTCTCGACATAAATGAAGGTCGTTTTCACAGGAAATCAAGATTATCTCTGGCAAACTCTAAACGAAAGAAACAAATTGTAAGCTCAGAATAACACAGATATTACCAGTAAATTTTAGAAAGCAACACTCTACACACTTTATTCTGCTTATGCTCCATGAGTTTTCGAAAAGAAGGTTGTTTAGATAACACTTTTCCTCCTGCACATTCCACGATAGCTTTCATGGTAGAAAGGCTGGGACAAATTCCAGGTGTAATGTAAAAATATTTTCCCTAAAAAAGAAAAGAAAGAGTAAGAAAAAATATTATTTTATTAACTGATATCTGCAACACATTGTTTTATTATCATATGACTTATCAATCACGGGGCTGACTTTGCAAGCTGATGTTAGATATCACAGCTTACGGCAATAAATTCATCAGCTGATGAGTTCTCCTTTACTACCACTGATGTGTTTCCTGGAGGTGCAACCCTGCAATTTGAACAGCTTAAGCGTGCCTCTTTCAACACGTGTAAAGTGAGTGACATCTCAAGAACTTCCAGCTGTAATTAATAGCCAATTTATTACTTCCTGACGAAAGTTATCATACTACTTGACTGACAGAGGTGATCAGACCCCAGAGTAGATTATCTCTGTTTACCAGCTGGGAACATAAAAAAAACTCTTTGCTATTTGACTGTAGAACTGAGTGAAATGCAGTATTTAGATTTAAATAATTAAGACTTAATATTCTTACTGATCATAGATTGTAAAAATGCCCTTTTTTAGGTGGCTTGCCTCCATAAACAGTCTCAAATTTGGTTAGGCTGCAGAATCTCTATCAACTTGGATCTTCAGACACCTCTCTGCACTGTAATGCAATTTCAACTGGAGGCATGAAAGCCATTTTTCACCATCCTAGCATACAGCCTGGTCGTAAGTGAAGTCTTCAAGGAGAATCAGACTAGAGCTCCCTGAGGCTGAAGTGCAAATTACTCTAAGGCTCCCATTCTTATGGGTAAGTGCTCTGACTACCAGGCTAGTGTAAAACAGAAAAGAAAAAAACCCCAAACAACCCAATAAAGTCCCTTCCGTAAGTGAGTCTTTACAGTAACAGAGCAATATTCTCAATTTTGTAAGGAAACAAATAATGCATATTGAGCATATGTTGAGCTTGTTTTATTCACACCTACAGAATCCAGTCACATGAGGCTTAGATCCAGCCCAACAATGCTTAGGCAGGAAACAGACTTAAAGTCACAAATGGAATTTATAACAAATGCTTTATGTTATATAGTAGTCTGTATTATTGCACTCAGCTACAAAACCTGCAGCCCCAATGCTGAAAAAATTAGGTTGAAAAGCTTCAACTACTTAAATGCCATTTTTAACTGCATACCTTGAACAGTGGAGCTACTTGTGCTCTCTTTAGAGACTCCTCTAAACTAAAGCAGAAAAGCACCTCAGCTTCAGCATCTCTGAGCACAAAGTTCTGTTCATCTGAAAAAGAAAGACTGATGATGTAACACACAGAAGACAAAAACATCCACGTAAGCCAGGACATAATCTGATTAGAAAATGTTTTGGCAGTGTGACTCCAAATGGTAAACACCTACTAATTTTAACATAACACCCCATTTTACTGGGGTTCTTACAACTGTGACCCACAATCACTTGGGGGGGGAGTGGGGGGGAGAGAAATGTGCGTGTATTTCACACTTGTAAACCTAGCAAATAACCACTGTCCTTTTTTTAACTTATTGGAGGAACTTGCTAAATTTTATAGGTTGATTCTCTACAAGCAAAAGAGCAAAACAATTACACTGAAGTTCAAAATCACTGTGACAACCTATGGGAGTCCAGAAAGTGCCTTAAACTCTTCACACAGCAGTAACAGAGAAAACTTTCTGTTTCCCTTGTCCTAATATTCAGCTGATTTTTCACTTTTTATTAGGCATGGAATTTCAGTCTTTACCTTTCCACAAAAAGTTAAGTCAAACATATTTCTAAATCAGATTTAATTCAAAGCATTAAGTTTAAAGAACAAAAAAAAATTTATATGGAGAACAAATTGGTCTTTCCAAGGACAATTCTGTCAACCTCAAAAGATGTGTTAATACCGTAAAACAAAGAAAACCGGTAGGACATTTTTCATAACAACTGCCATACATTCCATTCAATCATTGTACTAGGTACAGAAGTGAAGGCAGACCTTTAGCTATAAGGTGACTAAACTTCGGTGGTCAGCAAGTACAATACTTCTAATACTACAGCAAAACAGTTGTCCTTTTAAATCCACGAACTTTCTTTATCTTCTAATAGCTTTCAAATGGATTGATTTCTCAGTTCACTAATGCTGAACCAAGCAAGTTGCCTTCTCAGGATTTATAAAAATGTTTGCTGGTTTATTGGTTAATCATCCATAGATTTAAGTCTTTGTGATGATGGTTAGGCAGCATGTTATATATACAATTTTAATCCAAGGAACAAATAAAAAGCACAGAACAATCGTAAAACAAATCATCAGCTTTAAAGGTGGCTTAAAAATAATGCAACCACAGGTAAAATCCACAAATGGCTACACATGGAAGAAACAATGCTTTATAACATCTAACTATTTAATCCCTTTAAAGCAAACTTTTGAAGTATGTTTCTACTTCATTTAAGGGGAAAAAAACCCTGTACTAAATAAAACGAAAACTAAATGAACCAAAATGTTCGCTGAAAAAGAGAACTTGATTAAAAAAAATTTTACAAAACTTCGTATGTAGTTGTTCAAGAGTTGTGAACTGTGAGAGCCAGACTTGCTTAGAATTAAAATCTTTGCTTTCAAAAATTAGACCTTTTAGAGAACTGGCAAGAAACACTAAAGTCAGAAGTCATAATACAAAGTATATTTAAATACGCTTGTCAATGAAAATTAAGTTTACTATAAAAATTACTAATAGTTTAACTCACCAACAAACTTCTGGCATTTGAAACACTCTTCTAACCACTCTGGAGTTACTATGTGCTTGACTACAGAAATTGCTGTCAGGAACTTGACAGTTCGGGTCACTTTACTTGCAACCAGATGGGTACATTTCTGGGCAGATTCTGCTACTTCACCTCCAAGGATATACAGTTTCTAGAAGTTGTACAAAAAAAAGTTGAAAATCAAATCAGAATGGAAATATCCTTTAAAATTGCAGGGGGAAAAAAATGAAGAATCGTAGCATCGCTATCAAATTAAGCTCCCAATGAAACAGTAAATATAGGAGATTTCTGTATTACAGTCATTCTTTTACTAAAGCTGATTAATTTTATCTGGGGAAAAAAAAAAAAAAAAGAAAGAAAGAAAGAAAGAAAGAAACCCAACCCTGTGCCTTAAAGCTTAGCCAAAATGTGAAAGATACGTAAATTAAAAGTTCTTTTGGAACAAATATTTAACTATTATTAATGTTCACAGAATTATTTGATTCTTATACCATTAAAAGAATGTTACAAATTGCAACAGCTTTTTTGGGAACAGAATAAAACCTCCATGGGAACTTACTATCTCACACCTGCTGTAACTTTTGTCATCAGGTTTCTGTGAAACAATTGGCATTACAGGTAACAACTACAACTAGAAGAATCTTGGGTCTTATCCAGTACAACCATCACTACTTTTCTCACCTAAATTTGGTCGCGAAGTTTGCTGATTCAAAAAACAAATGTGGAAGGGGCTTTCTTGCTTTTTGAAGCAATTATATGGGAAGGAAAAACAAGTAGTGCAGAAGTATGAAGTAGTTACCTAAAGCAGAACAGTTACCAAATAAACCTCACTTCACATAAATCTACACTGTAACTTCAGCCCCTGCAAATACTGGGTTTTATCCACTAGCTATATGCTAATCAAGTATTAGGTAGCGACAATTCGACATAAAGAAAAAGTTATCAGATGTTTCAATGTAGTTCACAAGAGATAAGCATGAAAGTCACCTTAATGTACTGTTGAACTTGCATAGGTTCAAATCCTGTGAAGAGCACCATTGGTGTCAGTTCTGGGGTGAGTTTTTTAGTAGGTGGTGGTAGGTCTTCAATCCTACAAAATACATGAAATACAGCAGAATGTGAAGTCTGGGCCCAAAACTGTATTATTTTAAAACTAGACAAGCACACTCTTGCAACTTTTACCAATGGAAATGCTCAGATGAATGAGAATTAGGCAGGATCAATCTTCTGAAGAAAAAACTACTATGCCGAGAACAGAACATACTCTCCTGCTTATGTTCTCTCCCAATTGTCTTACTACTTCACTCAGTATTATTTTATTACTGCAACTGAGTAGCTGACAACATGCAAAAAAACATTAATGGTTATTTCAATTAGCAGAACACAGGATGGAAGCAGCCTGGTGGCCAGTTGACACTTCTGTGGAAGCCGATCAAGGACTACTGGCATCAATGGCTTGCTATTCTTACCTTGCTCTTTTGGAAGATGGCTGAAGACTGGATTCATTTTGCTTTGGTTTCAAAGGCAACCTCACACCCTGAAATTAGACAATCTACATGTTTATATTTGAATTAAGCAGAGAAAACAACTTCTGTTGCGAGAGAGGAAAACTATACACTGATATTCTGAGACATTATTAAAGAAAATTAAAAACAAATGAAAGACACATTACTGAATGCATACTGGTACTCCTAGCGCTTACACAACTGACCCAAGAGCAAAGCTGAGCATTAACCAAAGCGTCTCCAAGAAAGTCATGTAACCATTTAAGCGTATACAAAATGAAATATTGTAGGACATTTTTTCCTTTAAATAAAGCTGATAATCATCAATAGAAAACTCAAAGAATCAAATGAGAAAGAGACTGAAAATCTTGTCCATTTGTTAAATACAGCATTTTCTATTACCAAATCATATTCTTCATACATGGACACCCTGAGGGGAGGTGGACAAGATTACCTCCAGAAGTCTCTTTCAATCTAAGTTACAGGATTCTCACGTCACATGGGCAAGAAAGGTCCCCATATAACAAATACAGAAAGGGCTTCTGACCTCCAAGTTCTCTCTATTTGCTACGTAAGAAAAAACGTGGATCACCACTTGGTCTGAGTCACACAAAGAAAGCACAAAACCAATTTTAAGATGAGCCCAACTGCAGTGTGGATGCAAAAGATGGTGGTGACAAACCCAAAACTAAGTTAGTTACAAGCTATTTTAAATATTAACAGTGCATACTGGATCTCCCTAAGGATTTCTTCTGCCACTAGTAGAATAAATACATCCATCTTAGGGAAAATATAAAATACACGTTCTTAAAAGACTTAAATTTCCTAAAAATTAGTTTCCTAAGGGCCCAGAAAACAATTCCACAGGGGTCTAAAGGAAGAAGAATGTTTCAACTTATAGCCAGGGATACAGTAGTGGTTACTTCTAAAACTGAAAGGTATGAAAACAACAAATAATGCCCAGACACTATGTAAAGTATTAATACAAATTAAGTTAGAACAGTTACTAAGCTCCTCTTTTCTGAAGCATATACAAAATGAGCGAGATAATAAGTGATCCAGAACACCAAAGGTATGGCAAACGCCTTTGTGCTATATAAAATGTTATCTGACAGTCATCTGTCGTACAAACGAACTGAAACCTTGCTAGCTCAAACTGGGATTACCTGTGTCAAGACAGACACTGGGAAAATCAAGCATAAATCTGAAATAGTTTTCTACATATTCGGAACACAGAAACAGTTCAGAAGTAAAGCTGCAGTTTCCACCTCAGCTCTTACACCTGTCTCATGTTTTGCACATTTCATAGAATACATTAAATGTCAAAAATTCAAGGTTTTCTATCTTTTTAAGGTATATTCTTCATTGTTCATTTACATTGCTGTTATTTTCAGGGTTACCAAGTACACTTTTTAAAGCATAATATGTTTTTAATTATAAAATATATGGTACATATACCCATGCTTTTAAGTTCTTATAATATTTCTAAGAGATAATATAAAGATATCATATTTTAAAATAAAAAGACATGATATTTAGTTCCACCCTTAACTTTCATTATCTATCTTATTTAAAATCTAGTGATTATTCAATAACATTTGTACTCATTTTAGGTGTTCTGACTTAAAAACTCTTATGCGGTCTGATTTTCAGGTAGCATTAGGTACTAATACTAAGTATTAGGTACTAAATACTAAGCCTTTTCTCTAAAGGTCTGATGTAAAAATTGAAGAGTGAAGCATTAGCCCAAGATGCTTCAAAAGTAACTTTATTTTGTGTATCACAGTGCAGTTCCTTAGTTCTGCAAAAGATTATTTATCGTAGAGAGATAAATAGAGAGAACAGTAGCAGGAAGTACAGCCAGGAGGTTCGGTATGCACCTGCGTGAGTCCCTCCGGTATGCTGCTCACACATTAAAAACACTTAAGAGTAATCTTACAAGAACAGCTGAATACATACAACAGTTCAACGTACCATTAGAAGTTCTGGTGATACCTTTAATGGGACTCTCCAAGCATCTAGGAAATGAAGAATAAAACAAAAATGAAACCATTGCAAAGTTATTTGTTACTTATAACACATTCTTCTATTGATTAAACAGATATATATATAAATGCTGCAAAACATGTATTTTGGGAGCGAAACTCTTACCCAGAAGGTTTAGAACTAGATGTTGACTAGGAGAAAGTGGATCTTGAAGACTGAATACTGTATACCGACTGTGCTGTATCTGCCGTAAAGCTTCAAAATTTCCTAGCAGTATGTCACAGAGCCACTGCGCATTTACACATGGTATTCTCCACTCTTTAGCTTTCTCATACTTCAAGCCACTGGGCCTTGTTGTTCAGAGATGAGGAAAAAAAATTGTATTTCAATTAAATAGGTAAAAATTGCCATTTCAAATAATAAGCCTAAAATACCAGTATTTTGGTGTTGGTCTATTAGCTGTTCTAACTGTCACAGAGTAGATACTCTGAAAAAATATTTTTATTCTACATACCAAAACAATTCCATAAAGGAAAATTTCTGCCCCAAATTGAATGAAGTCACACATGGATTTAACTTAAGTTTTCTCTCCTCCAATGTTTTAAAAGAATTATTAAAATAAAATTAATTTATTTATAGATGATGTAACAGATGTAATATTGCAAAATAGTGAAATCAGAAATTACTTTTCTTTTGCCTGTCTTCAGAAGACCAAATTTATCACGTATTAGTGTGCAGTAATTTAGTTCAAGAAACAACATCTCTAAGTTTATTGCTGTTAAACCACAGAATTGATTAAAATTACCGTTCTTACAATGAGATGTAACTAGCACTTCTCATCAAGAAAAGCACTAACTAGCAACAGGCTACTGGGAACATGAGTGCTATGGAGATAAACCACTTACTCTTTACAGATGAGAACTGTATTGCTGCGACACAGGTAGCCTGTGTATTTGGCACCTGCTAGGTAGGCCATTAGTTTGAGGTCATCTCTGTCACTGTCAACAAACCCTGTCACAGATATTATCTACAAATAGAAAGAGACAGTGACAAATAACTGAACATAGATGGCACTTAAAAACCACTCCCCATGAAAATATTTTTCTGTTACTTTTCTATATTACAGTGAAATACATGGTATCGTAACTATGACATACAGGCACTTCATTAAAACATGGCTTGTAGGATACATAAAGTACAATTAAAATGGATTTGTTTGTAACATAAAAATTTCAGGTTTCTAGCACTAGTTCTGACTCATTTTTGTTCTGCTGGTCAGCTTTTTCTCATTTTTAAAGACTGTATTTTTAGTATGAAAAGAGCTCATAGCTGGTTTTCTTCTCACACGTCTCACCTCTTTTCAGCTGCTCTTTATATTCAGCGAGACAGAGAAATGTTTATACTTCTCTGACCTACTCTACTTTTAATATCTCCTGAATGCTCTGCTCTACTCTGCCATGAAGCCATATAAACTGTGCCAGCTGATCACAGATGGTGAACTGTAATTCCACTTCTTCTGTTCCTATACTTAGTCTTGCCAGGATTTCATTTTGGCCATTTGCTCCTTTTATTTAGGAAAACGCAACAGCAATTTTGTTGTTGATAGTAAACTACATTTATTGCATTATAAATCACATTTACCACTAACCACTGTGTTCACATGCATATTGTTATGCTCTAATTTTACCAAACCTGTATTTCATGTCTTTTAGAACAGGCTAGTAGCAAGGCTATCATCCTGTATGTCTGCATCCAGCACACAACATACTTTGGTATCCTGTTTTATACTGCACAGTGTAATTCAAGATGCATTTGATTCAACTGCAATTTTATCTTTCAGCCCCACAAAATTCAGCTTCCTCAGTGCTCCTTATTGCACAGGCTACTGGAACTGTGATCTCCTATTCTCTGATTAACAGCATGGTCTTCCTTTTTTGACATTTGCTAGAGACTGACCCAGAAAAAGAAAAACCCTCAAAAAGCCCCCTCAAAATAATTGGGTTATAGTAAAGGAAGCATATACTGTTAGACACACAGTTAGTAAAAAACTACACATCTTGGATTCCTACCATCTTCTTATCTATAACTCACGTAATCTTTGCACCCCAGTTTCTAAGACTACTTCATAAACACAGGTGTTAACGACTCCTGACCACTAAGAGTGCTGTAAGTCTTGTAAAGCACTCTGAACCACCCAGTAGTAGAGTACCACATCAACACATGACCTTACGATTAACAAAAGCTTTTCTTCTGAGACAAAAAAAATGTGCATTTTGCTTTGAGTAAGCACTTCTTAGCTGTATTTTAATGCTGCTCATGTAATGAAACAAACATTCTTTAGAAGTTAAGCTGCTGCTTCTTACATGTTGAGAGCATGGCTTTCCTCCTGGTGGAAATGCCACTGGAAAATGAAGGGCTCGATGAGGCGGTACCATTTTCTTCTTCTTCAAGATTGAGTTCAGCCAATGTGCTGTAATACATCTCTTCCTTTCTCTTAAAGCCTATGAATATATATGCATAAACAGCTTTTGACATCCAAAATACATCTTAATTTTAAACCTTTCATACAGTAATAAATGACAAATCACAAAACTTTAATTCTTTACTTGCAACCTAAGCATGAAGTGCATATTAAAAAGCCCTATCTTTCCAGTAATAAAATGAAAGCATATGTGAATTCACATTACTAGTTTGCTTACCTGAGCATACATGTTACTGACTTGGCTTTCACAAAGAAGATGTGTACATCTGCTTGTAAGGGTAGGGTCCACTGTCCCACCATGAGCTTGAATGATCTAGTAAAGAGAACAAACCCAGAATATCTAATACATATATAACAGTTTTTAAATTACCCTAAGAAGCAAACAGTCTGAAATGAAAGCCTACTCTTTAGGACACTGCCATCATTAGTATAATTCCACTGAATAGTTACCCCCCCAGAAAAAGGTTTCTTACTAGCTTAAGAACATTTCTGAAAAACAAAAACAAAAACAAAAAAATAAATTAATAAAATGGAGAAAGCAAAATTAAATATGCACCTTTTCACTGAGATACAAAAAGTGTACTTTTTTTAGAATTAACAAAAAGATATATAAACAAAAATAACCCTTCTCACTTTTATTTTTGCAGTATAACTAATAAACAAGTTTTCTATTCAATTCTATCTCAGCAATAAATACAAGTGCTGTTAAAAATGTCAACAGCTTACTTGATTATGCAAAA